CGGCGCGCTGGGTCGTTAGAGCCATCGCCTCGCTGGGATGGTTTTGGCCTTATTTCCTAATACCCAGTGTCCATGTGGAAAATGCCCACACCTGACGAGAATTTTTATGAGTTTATTTGAGCCAAACTGACCATCGTCCAGAAGCAGAATCTCTTCAGGATGAGAAAATGCCGGAGGATGGGAGCTTTGCGGCTTAGTTTATGCCTTAGAATGAAAGGAGGCGAGTTAACGGTGAGTATTTACACACGCGGACCTGGTATCTGGGAGAACACGGCGACCGCGAGGGCCCTGTGGTCTCCGCTGCGGCCGCTGTGCCCCAGGGGTCTGGAGGAGGAGCTCGGCCGCCCTTGCGAAGGCGTGTGTCTCAGACGCCCGGACAGTGCGCAGGCTTCCGGCAGGTAAAGACTGACCCGGGTCAAGGACACTGCGGCCGCAGGACGCGACTGGCCCCCGCGACTCGCTCGTAGTTAGGAACTTTTGTGTTCAGAACATCCTATGTGGTCACTTTCAGTCTGAGCGTGTAAGGCCCTCTGTGCAGACCTCCCCTGCGCCTGTCGGGTTTAGTATGTGGCCCCTTTTTGGTCCACACGAGAATCCATGAAATAACTGAAGGGACTTCATAGTGGTCAAAAAACTTGGATTTAAAGATGACTCTGGATTGGAAATAAACTAGTAAACCCTTTCCTCTCAGTAACCAACTTCCTTTAGTCTTCCTCTTCTCCAGGTCCAGCCCACATTTCCCTTAACCAGCTGATACTCAAAAGTAGACATACCTAGATATCTGGAAAACAAGACGGAACAGAGGCTCTAAAATTTCTCCTGATAGTAGATCAAGATCAATGCTATGTGCTTATGAGATGTTTAGGGATTTTAAATTATCATAGAAGATTAATATATTTATAACTGTAAAGTCAGTTGTGTACTATTTCATTTAGTATGATAAACATATATAATAGGTTTGCAAACCAAAAATAGTTTTTCTTCAATTAAAACTTTATTATAGCAAATCTCAAAATGAGATAATATAAGCCTTTTAACTTTTTCAAAAGTTCTTTCTCAGCATTGTCTACTCTAGTTCCTGTAGGTTTCCATATAAATTTTAGAATCGGCTTATCAGTTTTTATATTATGCTGGGACTTTTATTGAGATTGAATTTATAGATCAATTTGGGGAAAACTGACATGTTAATAATACTGAGTCTTAAAATTCATGAACATGGTATATCCATCTAATTGGGTCTTTCATTTGAATTTTAGGCATGCAGATATTGCACATATTGTGTTAGACATATATCTCAGTACATCATGCTTTTTGTACTATTGTAAATGGTATTGTTTTAATTTTAATTTCCAATTGTTTGTCACTACTATATGGAAATGCAGTTGACTTTTGTGTATTGGTCTAGTATCCTGTGACCTTGCTAAAAGTCACTTATTAGTTCAAGTTGCTTTTGTGTGGATTCTCTTTGGAATTTCTATATAGGTAATCATGTTGACTGAGAATAGTTTATTTCTTTCAGCTCAGCATGTCTTTATTTTCTTGCTTAATGCACTGGCTAGGACCTCTAGGTTAACCAATATGCTTTTCAAAAAAATAAAAATTTATTGATTTCAGAGAGAGGGAGGGAGGGAGAGAAACATCAATGATGAGTCATTGATCAGCTGCCTCCTGCATGCCCCAACTGGGGATCGAGCCCACAACCCAGGCATGTGCCCTGACCAGGAATCAAACCAAGATCTCCTGGATCATAGGTCGATGCTCAACCACTGAGCCACACCAGGTGGGCCCAATATGCTTTTTATTTACTAGTCTTGTTTCACAAATTATTTTTTAACCCTCTTTCCATAAAAATAAACCCCTTAAACAATGAGCCTCTGGATGGATTTCAGGGATCTGTGAATCTTGGAAAAATATAAGCAACATTTTGTATCAATATGTAAATCTTTATTTCCTTGGAGTAAGTGGGTTCATAGCTTACACCAGACTTTCAATAGGATTTATGTCATTAAAAGGGTTAAGGAACTAAATTTTAAGTAAAAGTCTAGGTATATATGAAGAATTTTCATGATATTGTTTTTCACATTTACAGCAATAAAGTTATTAAAAAGTGATTTTATTTTTTACTTTGGCTTCTTCTCACTCCATAGGAAAGAATAAACAGTTCTCAGCAATTTTGATCCCTATCACTTTTGTGTTAAAGACAAATTTAAATGTTGGTAAGGATTGGTGGTAAGACATGCTTAGAATGCAGAAGAAATAAAGCTGAAGAAAGGCCAAACCCTTATTTCAAAGCCCCCCCCCAATAAAAATATACCAAGAAGGGCATAAGGGGAAAAAATAATTGGTTATGCATGTACTAAAGCTTATTATCTTAAAGCACTCTTGAGAAACTGAATAAATCATATTAAGAAGTCTCATTTACAGAATTATAAAATGATTAAAAATTGGGCGTGCTTATCTTTTTATTTTTTTAATTTATTGATGAGAGAGAGAGAGAGAGAAACATCAATTTGTTGTTCCATTTACTTATGTATTTATTCGTTGATTCTTGTATGTGCCCTGACTGGGGATTGAACCTGCAACCTTGGCGTATTGGGATGATGCTCTAATTAACTGAGCTGCTCAGCCGGGGCCAGCACACTTCTTAAGTTTGATTTAAATCATCCTATTTAAACAAAAAGTTAACAAGTAGGTTTGAATAAAACCAGAGACAAACAGTAAATGAGGTTATTTTTAAGACCTTTATCAAACAACTGTAGAGTGTTCAAACATTGTCACAAGTTTCACATGAAAACCTAGGCTGGAATTAGTGAGTATATTAATATTTACAAATTCCCAAAAGGCATGTAGCTCTGTATTAGACTCCATTATCTTCTCTCTGTTGAAGGAAAATCTCATTTTTTGTGAGTCAATATTAGTGTTGAGTAATCACTTGATTAGCAAGAGAATTTAGTGAATCCCGGTAGTGAAATACAATAGTCTTCTCAAAAGAGCCATTCATACTACTGAAAATAGTAACAAGCACGTACATATGGTGCTTAGTATGTGCTAAGCACTGTTTAATCCTTACAATAGCCCTGTGAAGTAATTATCCTCATTTTATATGATTGGTAGTACTGGGCACTTTGTGATATTATCCTAGTCCAAGTAATCTTTTTTCTTTATCACCATACTCCATCTTCAAGGTCCTGCATCCTACATCATTTATCATTCTCTGATACTCATAGTAGAAAATAATTTTTCTCCTATTCGTTCATTGGAATCTCCAGTAGGGCACTTGTCACATTCTACCCTATTTGTTTAAAGTGTCCATTTGTGTGTATATCTTTTTTGCATACTAGGTTAAGATCATCTGGAGGTCAAGAACTTATCTTGGGAGGCCTTCCCAACCAGTGATTTTTATGAGTCTTACACATATATAATAGGCAATCTGTGTTTATTAAAATGAATTTACTAAATGTCATGTTTGCATATGATTTATCTTTCAGGAATTTACTTGACAGAGAAACTTGCTCATGTACAAAATTACATAAGCATTAGGTAGTGTAACTTAATGGGTAAGAGCCTGCTAGAATGGAATCCTGACTGTGACACTTCCTAGCTGGGATCTGGGGTAAGTCACTTAACCCTTCTGTGCCTTGGTTCTGTCACCTGTAATGGAAGTAATAATACCTACGTTAGATGGTAATCATGTGAATTAAGAGAGTTCACTTTTGAAATGTGTTTGAAATAGTGCCTGGCACATATCAACAAGTTATTCTTTTTTACATCATTGTAATAGTAAAAAGCTGGAAACAACCTAATTGTCTATCAAAGGGGATTGATTAAACCAATAGTAGCACATTCCAAACATTAAAAAGATCAGGGGTCCAAAAAAGACGTACAAATTACTAATAGGTACATAAAAAAAGCTCAACATCATTAGTCATTAGGGAACTGTAAATCAAAACAAATAGGACAGTATATCCACAGGATGGCTATTATAAACAGTAGCAAAAGTGTTGGCAAGGATGTGGAGAAATTAGATCCCTACTACATGGATGGTGGGAATGTAAAGTAATGCAACCTCCTTGGGAAACAGTTTGGTATTTGCTCAAAAAGTTAAACTCAGTTGTAATATAACCCAGCAATTTCCTTCCTAGATATACACCCAAGAGAATTGAAAGCAAGTATCCACATAAAACTCGTACACAAATATTCATAGCGTAATTCACAATACCCAAAGTGGATACAACCCAATCGTGCAACTGATGGAATGGTAAACAAAGTGTGGTATAGCCATACTGTGGAATATTATTCCTACCTGTATGACCTTGAAAACATCATGCTAAGAAGCCAGACACAAAAGGCCACATAGTGCATGATTGTATTTATATGAAATGTCCAGAATATGCAAATCCATATAGACAAAGATTAATGACAGCAGGGGGCTGGGAGGAAAGAATGGGAAGTGAGTGCTAATGGGTATGGGACCTCTTTTGGGTGGGGTGATGAAAATGTTACAATTAGTGGTGATGGTTGTACAGTCTTGTGAATATGTTAAAAACTAGTGGATTGTACACTTTCAAATGGTCAATTTTATGATATGTGAATTATATCTTAATTTTTTAAAAAAAAGGATAGGGAGGTATGTAGGTTCTGAGATGGTATAATCTCCAAAACATATTAAATGAAAAAATGCAGTTTACATGGTATGCTTAAAAAGTATGTGTACATGCATAACACATGCACTCTGCAGACCTAAAATATCTGAAAAGAAATACAGGTAACATTTTTTCCTTAAGGGAGGGGATCTGGGGTAGGTGAAAAACAGGGGTGGCCTGGAAGGGAACCCTACCTTTCCAGTATACTCTTTGTACCTTTTGAACTTTATAGAGTGTAAGCATTACCACTCCCTCCCCCCCTTTTTTTAAGGGAAGAAATAAAAATGGAAACTGATGCTTTATCTTTAGACTTTTAAGAGATCATGTTCATTTTCTTCTGTATAAACTTAAAAGATATCCATCCACACATCTGGTCAGATTTATTTATTCTTTAGCAGTTGAAGCATTAAACAATGACAGTTTTTATTCTCAACCTTTAATAACATTATATTCATTATACTTGAGATTGTTTAGCTTTCTCATGGAAAAAAACAAAACCAAACATAAGCCTTTATACTATCCACCTACTAGTTCCGCAGCACAGTTTTAATAAGAAAGGTTTACTGATAATTGGATGATTTATATGATGTGGGCAGAGAAATATTAAGAGTGACTATAAAGTGGCCAGTCTTGTAAGTCAAGGGTTATGATCTTTGATCCACTCCTCCATCCACTTCAGTATCTGACTGATATTATCCTCCAGATCTTCTGGTTTGTTGCTGGGCAGCTGATGGACTATTTCTTCCTTGTAGGATGCTAATGCTTCTTCATAAAGAATTTGAAAAATTTCACACTGAACATTATCTTTTAGTTTCTTCTCATTGTAACCTCTAGGAGGCAAAGAGAAGAGAAGCAAACAAATAGCATTAATTGGAGTTTTAGGAACATACCAGAAACTGGACACTTTGGAATACAAGAAAAAAACCACACAAAAATATGTATTATAGTCTTTACCTATTAAAAATAGATAGGCATCTATAAATGAGGGACTTCTTTGACAAGAGGGTTAAACTAAGGAACAATGTTTAGGTTTGTCTGAAGATTCCAACCCCCCAAGATTTTGTGAGCCACTTAGTTAGCAAACGTATCTGCCTATCTCAAGCCAGATTCTGAGCTATGAGATAAGAAGTCTGTAGTATGGTCCCAGATTTTAAAAAGAATTAGAGGAGTTATGATATAGACAGATGAAACAAATAGATGGCATATAATAAAATGAAATGCATATGATTAAAATACTATATACTAACTAGGTACTTGATCACACAGATGTATTTCTACTTTACCAATTCCAAAGACATTGAAAAAATAAACTTAAGTAATCTTTAGGCAGATATATAAATTAGCCAACCAATTAGCTAGTGAAAAATATAAAGAAAATTCAGACTTGAATTAGACCTTATAACAATAAAAATTACATGGAACTACTTAAAAGGTGATTAACTTTATGAAAAGACAAGCTATAGAATGGGAGAAAATATCTGCAAATCATGTATCTGGTAAATAAAATACGGTATATTCATATAATGGAATTTTATTTGGCAATAAAAAAGGAAATAAAGTGAAGTACTGGTTCACGCTGATAACTCAGATGAATCCTGAAAACATTACACTGAGTGAAAAAAGCCAGACACAAAAGACCACACATACTATATGATTTCATTAGATGAAAGGTCCAGAATAGGCAAATTTAAAGAGATAGAAAGTAAATTACTAGTTGCCTAAGGCTGGGGGACTGATGGGAAATGGAGAGTGACTAATGGATACAGGTGTGTGTTTTTTTTGGGGGGGGGGTGTGAACATTTTCAAAAACTGGTTGTAGTAATAATGGATGCATAACCTCTGAATATACTAAAAACCACTGAATTGTACACTTCAAGTGGGTGAATTGTATGGTATGTGAATTTACCTGAATAGAGCTTTTTTTTTTTTTTTTTAA